CTCCCAGAATCTCACTCAATGTATGAATTAGAAGACTTAACCACATAATTTGTACTCTCTACTTAAAATTACACCCACCTATATGACATACAAAATCAAGATAATAGGAAAATAAAAAGAATAAGGAAGGACACTACGACTTATCCGATAAGTCAAAATCTTGATTTCCTAACTCAACAAAACTTCTGAAATCTCCCTAACTTGAAGAACTTGAAGAACACTCAAGAAAATTAATTAAACTAATTTCAAGAGAGCAAAAGTTTTGAGATTTTTTAATCTTGGAAGTTGTGTTTATAACTTAAGGACTTGAGACTTTTTTATAGGTTTTATTCTACAAATCGACTCGAAGAATTATAAGAAATTTTCATTTAAAATTTAGACATAATTTGACTAAAATACTTAAACTAAATTAATAAAATAATGAAATCCTTATCTAGATAGGATAATGAAAGTAATTAAATAATTAAAATTATAAAACTCCTCCTCATAGCCAAATTTGAACTCTATCTCGGGTTTGGACTTCAATTGCATTCAGCTTCATCTTTCTTCATTCTTTGTTGATTCTTGAGGATCTTTGAGTAGGATTCTTGCTGGATTTTTGCAAGATTTTAATTATATAGGTTTTATTCTACAAATCGACTCGAAATATTATAAGAAATTTCCACTTAAAACTTAGACATAATTTGACTAAAATACTTAAACTAAATTAATAAAATCATGAAATCCTTATCTAGATAGGATAATGAAAGTAATTAAATAATTAAAATTACAAAACTCCTCCTCATAGCCAAATTTGAACTCCATCTCGGGTTTGGACTTCAATTGCACTCAGCTTCATCTTTCTTCATTCTTTGTTGATTCTGAGGATCTTGAGTAGGATTCTTGAAGTAAGATTCATTAAGAAGACTTCGGCATAACAAGGCTTCCTTGGCCGATTTGTTGCTCTTGGATGCCTTCAATTTGAGGTCTTTTCGCATTTTCTTGGCTATCCTCATCCTTCTTGAAGTCTATAATTTCCAGCAAGGATTCCTCCATGGAGAATGTGTATTCTTCTTGAACTTGAAGTAATAAAGTTGGAAAATAAGTCTCCTCCTCTTTGGTGTTGGAATCCTTCAAGCAATCTCCCTCTTCCTCTCGATTTTGGAGTCCTTCAAGGCCAAGAATTCTTTTGGCCCATTGCCCCTCTGATAGGCCTTGTTGGTCTTTTTCCCTTTTGGGATTGGTTTGCTCTTCATCCTCATCTACGTTGGTCCTTGGGAGCAAAGCCTTTGGGCTCACAGGTCTTGGGCTTTAGCCTCTTGGACCGGCTACTTTGAAGCCACTTGAACTCATCTTGGGCCTGGAACACTTGTTGGGTTTCAAAAATATCCAACCCATCCAAAATTGACCCACAAGCTCGTGGGAACACTCCAGCATGTAGGAATTCTTCTCCGTGTGGGAAGATGATTCGCGGGCATGTGCTCGAGTATGTGCAGCGTGTGTGCATGCGTTGGCAGTGCACGTGCTTCCTTGGTGCGCACACGGAGAGCATGTTATGCGTGTGTGTGTTGGCCTCCCTTCGCGTGCGGGTTTTTTCACCTGCATACCCGCAAGTTCGCAGGTAATTTTCCCATGGCCACTCCAACTCTCGCGGGTTTCCATTCTCCTTGGGTCTCTTCATCGGACATTGCTTCGAGGTTCTCAGATGTCACATCATCCCCCATTCTTTAAAAAGATTCATCATCGAATCTGAGTCTTTGTCCCTGATATAATTTGATGCACATAAAGTTGCCAGAAACACATGAAAATAATTTGGTTGGTACCTATGAATGTTGGAACACATTCTCATATAGAGTTGCTTCAAAGTTTTTGTCTCCGGTGCCATGATGAACTCTTTTATCTTTTAAGTTGAGCCTTGGAATCGAATCTACTTAATAAGGACCTGTACGTTAGTCTCAAACACTGGCAAGGAATCCTAACGAAGTATTGACTCTATAGCTCAAACTTAAGCTCAAGGAACAATGCAAATGCAATACTGTAAAGTAAACGTGAAGCAAACGGTTTTTCGCTCATAGAAGTGAGTTAATCTTCCTTTACTTTATGCAACAGAATGAAAGCAAAAGTTTTCATACACATCTGGTAGGTTATGTAATCTTCCTTTGATACTTCAAAAGTTTTCGTTACACTGATAGGCGGTTAATCTTCTTTTGTTTGGTTTTAATATAAAACAACATGTCAATTGCCTTATTTGGTGCAATTGAGATACTTTTGGGTTTTTGATTTTCTATATATATCTTTTTTGACTAATAGAATAAACATACAATTACTTGAATTGAATGTATAGAATAAATTCAACTGAGATACAAATATGAATTAACAATAAAATTTTGATTGCTAACTTATGCAAAACACAAAAATGTTAAAATAATAAAAATGGTAGGTTCACTAAAAGTTTAAACTCTGATACCAGATGATGCGGGAGGAGATGGGAAAGATCATTTCAACTCCCAGAATCTCATTAAACATATGATTCAAAAGACTTAATTACCTAATTTACTCTCCCTACTTGAAACTACACCCACCTATATGGCATGCAAAATCAAGATAATAGGAAAATAAAAAGAATAAGGAATGACATCACGGTTCACCCGATAAATCAATTTTAATGCCCTGTCTTAACAAGACTTCTGAAAGTTCTCTATCTTGAAAAACTTGAAGAACACTAACGAAAATTAGTCAAACTAATTTCAAGAAAGCAAAAACTTCAAAATTTATCTTTAAAGTTTTGTTTACTACCTAAGGACTTGAGGCCTACCTTTTTATAAGCTTTATTCTACGAATTCAACTCGGAGTAGGATAACAAATTCCCACTTAAAACTTAGACATAATTTGACTAAAATACTTAAACTAAAGTAATAAAATAATGAAATCCTTATCTAGATAGGATAATGAAAGAAATTAAATAATTAAAATTATTAAACTCCTCCTCATAGAAGAACTTGAACTCCATCTCAAGTTTGGACTTCAATTGCACTCGGCTTCATCTTTCTTCATTCTTTGTTGATTCTTGAGGATCTTGAGTAGGATTCTTGCTGGATTTTTGCAAGATTTTAAGTAGGATTCATCAAGAAGACTTTGGCATGGACAATGCTTCCTTGGCCAATTGTTGCTCTTGACTCTTCAATTGAGTCTTTCTCATTTTCTGGGCTATCCTCATCGTCTTGAAGTCTATAATTTTCAGCAAGGATTCCTCCATGGAGAAGGTGTCTTCTTATTGAACTTGAAGTGATAAAGTTGGAAGATAAGTCTCCTCCCCTTTGGTGTTGGAATCCTTCAAGCAATCTCCCTCTTCCTCTCGGTTTTGGAGTCCTTCAAGGCCAAGAATTCTTTTGGCCGATTGCCCCTCTAACAGGCATTCTTGGTCCTTCTCCTTTTTGGGCTTGGTTTGCTCTTCACCCTCATCTACGTCGGATTCAAGAAGGATAAGCCTTCTTATGTGGCCGGACCTCCTTTTCTTTGGGCCCTCTTGGCCATGGCGGACTTGAGTCAAGACCGCGCTTGGCCGAGCCTTGGCTTTCTTCTTGGGTGGCAACAACACCTTCTCTTGGTCTTCCAAGACGGACACTTGGTTTGCACGGCTTGAATCTCCTCGGGTTGGGCATAACAAGATCATCTCGGTCGGTCCTTGGGAGCAAAGCCTTTGGGATCTCGGGTCTTGGGCTTTAGTCTCTTTGACCGGCTACTTTGAAGCCTCTTGGACCCATCTTGGGCCTGGAACACTTGCTAGGCTTCAAAAAGACACAACCCATCTGAAAATTAACCCACAAGCTCATGGGTAGGAATTCTTCTTCATGCGGAAAAAGGATTTGCAGGCATGTGCCTGGGTGTGCGCGGTGTGTGCACGCACGCTGGCAGCGCGTATGCTTCCATGGTGCGTGTGCGGAGAGCATGTTGTGCATGTGCGTGTTGGCCTCCCTTTGGGTGCGGGTTTTCTCACCTGCATACCCACGGGTTCACGAGTAATTTTCCCGTGGCCACTGCAACTCTTGCGGGTTTCCCATTCTCCTTGGGACTCTTCCTTGGACATTGCTTTAGGGCTTTTGGATATCACATCACCTGTCCCCAAAATGGAATCACTTTGATCATATTCTCCTTAGATTCTGCTGAACTTCTAGTTGACTAAACACTCTAGTAGCTCATGGGCCAGACCTTCCAGTAAAGAGTAGGCTGCTTGGTTTGATTCTTCAGAGATTTTTAAAATTTGCAGTTTCTTTGATTTCTTGAGTTTAATATACTCTACATGGCTTCAGTACAGCTCCATAGGTAAAATAAAGTTTTTGGACAGAAAATGAGTAGAAAGGAGTGAAGAAGAAAGTGCAGAAAAACATTCGATAATCTGCAGCTTGCTTGAGCTTAATCAATGTAGCATATAGTTGACCTGAAAATCTTTGAAATGCCATTTATTGAACAAGGAATCTGACCATATGATAAAAAAGTGCAAAATACCAGCAAGATTTCCTTCAAACCACGGACATAAACTTTCAATATAGATATAGGCCCACCTATCTCAAGATGAGATTTGATCAGGAAGCCACATAAACACGACCCAAAGGTGAAAAGAGCTGCCTTAAACACACTCTATTATCAGATCTTAGTTAGAAACAGCCAGGTTTAATGCATATGCAAAAGTGAATATTTTTAAGTACATCAGGATGGATCAAAGTCGTTCCAACATGAATGAATAGTCAGGTGAGGAAGAAAATAAAAAAAATAATAAATAATTCCACATCACCACATATGGAATGTTAAAGTGGAAGTAACAAGAAGTGCCTTAAACACCCTTCCATAGGATCTGCTCTGAAACAGCAAAATTTAATGCATATACAAAAGTGAACATATTAATGACATCAGAGTGGCCAGTCAATTACTAGTGAAATGGTCAGGTAAAGAATAAAATTAAAGACAACCGTTAATAATTGCAAATCACCAAATATGGAATGTCAAGAAGGAAGTGACCCAACCTTTTGGGCATGTAAAGTATTTCCAAGATAGCACATTATAACTGAAGAATGAGGGTTTAGTTGGAGAGCCTGTTGAAAGTGGTGCTCGGCAAATTCAAAATTCTCTTTGCGGAAGTAGATCATTCCAAGACCATACCAGGCATTGTAATGTCTCACATCTACCCTGAGGGCACTTTGGTAGCACTTTTCTCCATTTTCATAATCTTCAAGTGCTGCATACCTGTAAATAGGATAATTTGTTGAGAGAGATGCTATGTTTTCCATAGCTATCTGATTATTGAAGACGACACTTCATGATACAAATCAGAAATAATATCATACTCATGACCGCATAGCGTATGGGCATATGCAAATCTTGAATTAAGCTTTACAGCCCGCAAAAATATTTTGAGAGCAGTCTCATGATCCTTCTGCAAACTGTAACAGTTTCCAACAGCACACCTGCAATAGAGCTTCCACTGTAAAGAAAGCAATAATGACAAAAATAAATGGGAAATACTGAATGATGTATTATTAACTCTATGGTAAAATACAGAAGCAAACTTTCTCTCTCTAACATAAAGAAAACTTCATTGGTGAAAGTATGTTTATCACTGCACTTGCAACTGCTGTTATTATTATTATTTAACTGCAAAATGGAAATAAAAAGCAAAAACCTAATTTAGCTTATCGTCTCTTAGCTTGTATTTCTTGTTTCTCTTGTTAATAATATTTCTTTTATCAAAAGGAAAAAGAAATAAAGATTCAGTCAGAAACTCCCAATTTCTCTAAAAGTGAAAAAAGTCGTACAAAAGAAAAAAACGTAGCACACATTTGCATATTCTTACATGGAGTAACACTTAATGGCCTTCTAATGACTCATAATGCAATAAAATTAACTCAGTGAAATTGTATAGCAAACATTTTTATATTTTTCCGTGGAAAAGATGTTAATTGCTAATGTATCTCATTATTGGACGGTTCTTGCCTTCAATTTGGAATGCTCTTAAAAGCATCCACCGGCACCTCTTAACGATTGTAAATTACAGCATGTAAATCTGAAGAAAAAATTTATATAGAAGATACCAAGATACTAGTCCATAATACCTGACAGTTAATCAAGACATAAAACTTTGATAATGTTAAAACAATTCGTTCTTGTAATACACAATATTATGAAAGGATAGAATGCTATGATTTATTATTGAATAGTTTGATTCTATATATACACAACTTTAAGTATAACTAAGAAAACCATAAAATTAATTACACGGGTATTTGATTATTATACTCTTACACATAAACTAAATTATATACTTTTCAACATTTTCCCTCAAGCTGGTGAATACACATTTCCATTACCAGCTTAACAATGATGGACTAAAACTTTGGATTGTTCAAGTTCTTACTGAGTACATATGATAATTTAGAATTGGTAGGCATGTAGGAGTGCAGGTTAAACCACTATCTAGCTTCTCTTTGATGAAATACCTGTCATCTTCAATATGTTTCATCCTGTTATGTGGCACTATGTTAGAATCCGCAATCTGTGTACAAGAATCTTTTTTTTTTAGGCTAATTGCTAGGTTATTTACAGCTGATTGATTGACAGAATATTCGGTATTAATATTAGCAGATTATTTAGTATTAGTACTAGAGATTACAGCTGATTGGTTGTCAGAATATTTGGTATTAGTACCAGCAGATTATTTGATATTAATACCAGAGATGCCTCTTTCCTTTCTTTGCTGATCCTCACTGTATAAATGGCACCCTTTGTAAACATTTGTACGTGTGTGAAATAAATAAAATCAGAAGGTCCTTCCTCTCAATTCTTACATGGTATTAGAGCATTAAAGCTTTACAATCCTAGTTCCTTCGTTCAAGCTCTTCCAAGAATTTTGCTTCTTTCCTTCCATCATGTAACTCCTCGTTCCAACAAACATGAGTTTACAGGAGGCAAAGACTTCGTCCACAGAATTATTGATGGCCACTTATCCACCAGTCCTATCTGTGATCGCAATCCTTTGGAGAGAATTCTTCACTACAGATCACTAATCACAAGTTGGATGGAAAAAAATTTCCTCCAATGGTTGCAGTCCATCCTGCTCGTAATTAGAGGAAGGGGAAAACTCGGCTACATCACTGGCGAAATCAAATGTCCAGATGTGTCTTGGACATAACCTATGCCAATTGGGAACTCAACAATTCCCTTGTCACGGCTTGGCTCATCATTCGAGTGTACATTAACTTCTTGAAGAAGATACATCATAAGTTATCTCGATTGTGATGCAGGAGGGTATGGAAAAGATCATTTTAACTCCCGGAATCTCAACCCAATGCATGGAACATAGAAACTTAACTGCTTAATTAACTTCTCCATTTACTTGAATCTACAATCAAGAATATGGCATGCAAAACAGAATTAGGAAACAAAATTGAGGAAAAAAAAGACAGCCGCAGATTTAAGGTTCCTATCCAAACTCTAGGATTTAATTTAACTAGAAAACAAATACATAATTAATTAAATAATTAAATCTTATTCTAATCCTAATTTAAATACATAAAATAATTAAGAAAATATTAAAATAATATTTTATCCTTATCCAAATCTTCAAAAATCTTGATCTCTTTTGGACTTCAATTTTGAGTAGAAATCCTCTAATTTTGGCATTTAAATCACATGGGAAATTGGTTAAGTCTTGGAGTCCTTGTAGCAATTGGAAAAGGAGAAAAAGGAGTCCAAAAAGGATTAGGAAAAAGGCTCCCCTTGCGGGTAGCTTGAACACGGCGCGCGGGTTGCACAAAGGTGCTGTGCGGGTTGCGCGGGGCGGTCTTGCTGCCTGGGCTGGGCGCGCACCTGGGCTGGATGCCTTGTGCGGGCTCCGGGCGTTGGGCACCCGGCCTGCTTCGCACTTGCGCATGCTATGTGCATGTGTGCGTTGTCTCCTGCGCGCATGCCAGTGTGCGCTGGGTGTGCGGAGTTGCCTGTCCACATGCCTCGCGTACTGTTTCACGCGAGCGATGCACCCATATGTTCGGGTGAGCTCTTCCGCATGTGTGATGATGTGCACAAATGTTAAAAGCACGTCACATGCATGATATGTGCCATCCTCTGACTTCCTGGATCAGACTGCGTCTTATGGGCTTTCTCTTGGGCTTCAACGGTGAGTTGTTTACCCATTCTTGAACCAAAAGGTTGAAAATACTCTGAAATTGCTTGGCCCGGCTTCTGGTAATCGGTCTTGGGGGTAATTTAATCTGACTTCCTATCAGTCCCAACTCATCATGGACTTTGTGAGATGGCTTGTCATCTACTTGAGTGTCTGATATCACATTAGATTGTCTCCATGTTTTGTGTGTGCCAGATTGACTTTGCTTCTTTACTTGTTGACATGGTTTTGCATCATTAGTG